CACGACTGTTTGTGAGACACTGTTTTGCGCAATTGGTTGCCGCGTTTTGCCCACAAAATATAGTCAATTCACTTTACAGCACTTTACACTTTATACCTCAACAACAACAACAACAACAAGATTCCATTTATAAAGCGCCTTTCACGTCAGGAGGACGTCCCAAGGCGCTGCACAGTTGGGTAATGACCCGAGCAGGGGGGAAATGGTCAGGGTGAGGGGAGGGAAGGGAGGGAGCGAGGAGGGGGAAGAGAGTCGAGAGGGGGGGTGAGGGGAGGCAAGGGAGGGAGCGAGGAGGGGGAAGAGAGTCGAGAGGGGGGGTGAGGGGAGGGAAGGGAGGGAGCGAGGAGGGGGAAGAGAGTCGAGAGGGGAGCTGAAGGCACGGTCAAAGAGAAAACCCAGCCTCAGTACTTGGATCTCACGTCTAAATTGGCAATTCAGTGTGACGGTGGCGGGGGCTAGGGAAGGGGAGGAGAGCTGTGCATTGGTGGAGATGAGGTCCTTAGATGAGATGTTCAAACAGAAGATGGACGAGGATTCGAACCAGCAAACTCCTGGACTGTAAGCTGTAGCTCTACAACAACAACAACAAGAAGATTTCATCTATAGAGCGCCTTTCATGTCGGGAGGACGTCCCAAGGCACTGGACAGGACCCGAGCAGGGGGGAAATGGTCAGGGTGTGGGGAGGGAAGGGAGGGGGCGAGGAGGGGATAGAGAGTCGAGAGGGGAGCTGAAGGCACGGTCAAAGAGAAAGGTCTTGAAGGAGGAAAGGGAGGAAGCGGCGAAGGCACTGGGGGATGGAGTTCCAGAGCCTCGGGGCTGAGAGGCTGAAGGCCCGGCCACCGATGGTAGGGCGGTTGGGGCGGGGGATGTGGAGCAGACCGGAGCCAGAGGAACGGAGGGTACGGGCAGGTAGGTAGGGGATAGTAGGTCGGAGAGGTAGGAGGGAGCGAGGCCGTGAATGGCCTTGTAGGTGAGGATGAGGATCTTGAATTCGATCCTCTGGGGGATGGGGAGCCAGTGGAGGCGAGCGAGGGTGGGAGTGATGTGGTCCCGAAGCCTGGTGCGGGACAGTACACGAGCTGCAGAGTTCTGAATGACCTGCAGTGTGGAGGGAGGTGCCGGGAAGGCCGGCGAGGAGAGAGTTCCCATAGTCCAGCCTTGAGGTGATAAAGGCGTGGACCAGAGTTTCAGCAGCGTGAGGGGTGAGGTAGTGCCGTAGTCTGGCGATGTTTCGGAGGTGATGGAAGGCGGTGCCAGTTGTGGCGCGGATATGAGGGAGAAAGGACAGCTCAGGGTCGAACAGAACCCCGAGGTTCCTGACTGGCTTTGAGAGGTGGAGAGTGCAGCCTTGGATGCTGATGCTGTCAGCGCCTGAGGTGCGGAGGCGCTGACGTGAGCCAATCAGGAGGGCCTCAGTTTTGCGCACGTTGAGCTGAAGAAAGTTGTCTCTCGTCCAGGACTCGATGTCGGACAGGCAGCTGTCAGGACATCGGTGGTCGTGGAGTTGAGGGTAGAGGAGGAAAGGTAGAGTTGGGTGTCATCCGCATACATGTGGAAGTTAACCCCATGTCTGCGGATGATGTCACCACAGGGGGAGCATATAGAGGGTGAAGAGGAGGGGACCGAGGACAGAGCCCTGAGGGACACCACACGAGACAGTGCGGGGGCTGGAGGAAAAGCCGTTTGTGGAAACAAAATGAAGACGGTGGGAGAGGTACGACCTAAACCACTCAAGGACAGGGCCTTGAAGGTTGAGGTGGGAGGACAAGCGGTGGAGGAGGATAGCGTGGTCGACCGTATCGAATGCTGCCGATAGGTCGAGGAGGACGAGGAGGCAGAGGGAGCCCTGGTTGCAGATGGTCAAGATGTCATTGGTGACCTTGACCAGGGCAGTTTCTGTGCTATGGGCAGCACGGAAACCCGACTGAAGGGGTTCGAATAATGAATGGGTGGAGAGGAAAGAGCGCAGCTGGGAGGCGACAACTCTTTCAAGGACCTTGGACAGGAAGGGGAGGTTGGAGATGGGCCGGTAGCTTGATAGCTGCGACGCATCAAGGGAGGGTTTTTTCAAAGTGGGAGTGATGGTGGCAGTTTTTAGGGAATGGGAACAGAGCCAGAGGAGAGGGACAGGTTGATGATGTCTGTGATAAATGGGGCAAGGAGGTGGAGCTGGGAGATAAGGAGTGGAGTGGGGATGGGGTCAAGGGAGCAGGTGGTGGGTTTTAAGGACAGGATGAGGTTGGTGACAGAGGGTGGGGAAACGGATTTGAAGGTGTGTAGGGGAGGATGGGTAGGATTCGGAGTGTGGGAGGAAGGGGTGGGGGGTGGGTGGAGGTTGGAGGGGGAGTGACCGCGGAGCGGATTCCCTTGATTTTGGATTCAAGGAAATCCAGCATCTCCTCGCAGTGAAGGTTGGAGGAGATGACCTGCGCGGGGTGGCGGGGGGGACGGAGGAGTCGGGATGTGGTAGAGAACAGAAGCCTGGGGTTGTTCTTCGCCTCCAGGATTATCCTGGAGTAGAAGGACGACTTGGCCGAGGCTAGAGTGGAGCTGTAGATTTTGAGGGGGTCCAGCCAGATTTGCCGGTGGACCGTTAGGCCAGATTTGAGGCAGGTGCGTTCAGCGGCCCCGCACCTGGCTCTTCAGTGCGCAGAGGTGGGTGGTGAACCAGGGAGAGGAGCGAGAGTAGGAGATAGTATGGGCGGTGATGGGGGCAAGAGTGTCGAGTGTGGAGGAGAGGGTGTTGTGGAGGAGGGTGAGAGCAGAAGAGGGGTCAGTGAGGGTTGAAGGCCAGAGGGAGAGGTGTTCAGAGGACTCCAAGGCAGCGGTTAAGGATTGTAGCTCTATCCACTACCAGAGTGATCAAACTGGCAGCCCAGGATCTGATTTCAACCCCAACTCCCATTTCAACTGGTCCACCTGCTTCCTCCATAACCCATAATAATAATAATAATAATCCTTGCATTTGATATAGCGCTTTTCACGTCGGGAGGACATCCCAAAGCGCTTCACAGAACACACTGTAAAGTGAATTGACTGTATATTTGTGGGTGAAAGCGGCAGCCAATTGCACACAGCAATGTCCCACAAACAGTCGTAGATTGAAAATGACCAATTCATTATTGTTTTTGGTTTTGGAGGGATTATTATTTACATGTAACACTGTAATTCAAAGTTCTATTGGAATCATTATTTATAAAACATTAGATTAAAGTGTTCTCAGATTCCCACCCCCACCACCCAGTACATAATAGGTAAGCATTGGCTGTGGAGCAGTCAAATGGATGGGACAGCAAAGCAGAGTTTGAGCAGAGCCAGGGCGATATCTCTAACAGATTACATTGTGCCAAGGAAAACAATTCAAAAAACAAGGGCTTTATGCTTATCATCCCAGACACCTGGATTCATAACAATCCCTCGCAGCCCGCAGTACAGATTATAAATACAAACTGGTCATAAATCCATGTGATTTTTCAACATACAATCTGATCACGAATCCCGTTGGGACATGCAGCCAAATCAACAGCTTCCAATTAAAGGATTTACGCTTGAGGATAAAGCACTTTGTACTTGTTATGTCTCCAGAGAGAGATGAATTCGATGAGTCATTTTTACCGGATGGACTTTTTACCGTCTCATCAAACACTGCTCCGCAATGATCTCAAAAATCAATTATTTTATTGTTAATAGTAATAATGACCATTATCTTTGCATTTGAGATGCAGCTCCTATCATGTCAAGAGGGCTCCTATCATGTCAGAAGGGTTATGTATTGCTATTAATGTATTATCGATTAATACAGTCAGTGTCTCTCACATGACAATGAAACACAATGGTCTAAGTGATTAGATGCTTTCAGGAAGCCCCTGAATGGATGTAATGGAACTTAATTCACACACAGGATCTTGTGTTACCACAGTAATAATAATAATAATCCTTGCATTTGATATAGTGCCTTACCACGTCATTGCGTCATCTCAAAGTGCTTCACAGAATTTACTCAAAGTGCTGTGACCGTGTGTTTTTTGGGGGAAACGTGGCAGCCAATTGTGCACAATGACGTCCCACAAACGGTCATGCTTTGAGGGACCAAATTATTATTTTCCCAAAAAATTAATAATCCTTGTATTTGATATAGCACCTTATCATACTATTGAGACATCTCAAAGCACTTCACAGAATATACTGTAAAGCGTAATAGGCAACCTATGTAACACATAAGCTACACATTGCTGAACCTTGTATCATTATCTGACCTATAACCTATCTGATACAGAACTTGTAAAAGGTGAGTAATCTCAGCACTTGCAAAATGGAGAAATACGAGTTAGATTTGCGAAATTAAAAGCATCATTTTTATCAAAAACACTACTTAGTTGCAACTCAAACCGCACCAGTTTTGTACCAGCAATAGATTGTAAGTATCCCGTGGGTGGCTGGACTGAATGTAGGATATGAACAGGATTCTCTGTTATCTCTGATTCACTGTTAGTGAGTTCCTTTGCAAACCGCTGTTTAGTGTTAGCTAGATTAGGCAGGAGAGGCATTGAGAGAGAGAGATTGCCATCTTCGAAGTGGGGGCATTGGGCAGGAAACAATAATCATAATAATCCTTGCATTTGATATAGCGCCTTTTCACATCTTTGAGACGTCTCAAAGTGCTTCACAGAATATACTGTAAAGTGAATTGATTGTATATATTGCGGGTGAAACAATGACCACAACTTGCATTTATGTAGTGCCCTTCACGTATGGTAACATCTCAGACTGTTTTACAAGGAGAGGTTGGACACTGACTAAGAGTTTAACATCTCACCCTAAGGATAATCAGGCTGAGGGCATGATATGGATGAGAGGGATAAAAAGCAATACAACTTAAAATTTCTTGAAAGAAATAATGGGTACATCACAGGTTCAGTTGATAGTTTCCGTTATGCAGTTGCCCCTTTCTTAACTAAGTTGATAGCACAGAAGAGATCAAAGAGGTAATGATTCTTACCAGTTTCACCCCAAACAGGCAAATAGTCGTCCTGTTGAATGTCCAACATGATCTCGAGGCCATTCCCAGTCCCGCCCTGTACGGTAGTTAGCAGAGGTTTATCATCACTTCCTGAGTTAAACATGTAGCACTTTCCGTATCTGGTAAAAACCTGTGGAGCAAAATAACCAAGGTTATCTATCCAATCCAATCTATCCTATCAATCACATCAATGCACAGTCCTTTCTTTTGAACAGTGTACAATCATTAGAGCTTAATTTTTTTAAAAAACAAAAAGCTTCAAAAAAGCAGAAATGACGATTCTTTCAAGAACAAACTCAACAAATTTCTGTAAGGAAATTATATCTCGGGATACAGTATATCGTTTGGAACACGATATGTGCAAGCAACAGTTGGGATGGTGGAAGGCGAACTTGGTGGACCTTGATCTTCTTTCATCTAGCAATTCTTATCATCTTAGCAATTCATTGATCGATAGAAGGTATAGCTCAGAAACAGACCATTCGGCCCATTCAATTTGGCTCCAAAGAAGAAGCACTTTATCAAGCCTTATCCTAGAACTAAGTTGATAGCACAGAAGAGATCAAACTCTCATCTATACCAAAGAGCTGTCCATTTAATTCCTTGCTTTATTTTGCTGTTTCCTTGCATTTGATACAGCGCCTTATCACGTCTTCAAGACGACTCAAAGCGTTTCACAGATTATGCTGTAAAGTGGATTGACTGAATACTTTGTGGGAGAAACGCAGCAGCCAATTGCGCACAATAGTGTCCCACAAACAGTCATGGATTGAGTGACCAAACTATTATTTTTTTTTTGGAAGGAATTATTACTCCCACCAATTGTCTAGTTCTATGCCCCATCTTGGGCGCAGCAATGTTGGGGTGGTTTGGGCAGAGGAAGCAGGCCGGTGTTCGCTGAACGGAGAGAGCGGCTTATTGAGCCTTTTGAGAGATGGTTAAACTTTTGCTGAGACAATGATGAACAAAAATGACGCAGAGCTGCCAGTGGGAATGCAGTTGGGAGAATCCATTTATAACACTAGAAAAATCTGGTTCTCACAGAGGGGCGTTGAAATTGACATTTGCCAAAGTAATTACAGATTCCATTAATAAATCTCTTTAAGCCATTGTGCACTTGCAGTGACACTGTGCCATAATTGCAATGTCTGGGCATAATGGTATGCAATGAAACATTAATGAGAGCAATGGTTGACACAGCATAGTTTGGAACATTACCATGGGTGAACCTGTTTGTATTCTGCTCTGAACTGCCTACAGCAGAACCCCATTACAACAAGTTTCATTCTAACGCCGTTTACTCATAGGATTTTTTGACTGAATGTTTAATCTGGGGACTGTTAGCCAGGATATCAGGAGAGAGAAACTCCCCTCTCTTTTTGAGTACTATGGGAACTTTTGGGACGCTGCTGTGCGCAATTGTCTGCCGCTTTTCACCCACAAAATATACAGTCAATTCACTTTACAGTATATTGCGTGAAGCGCTTTGAGAGGTCTCAAAGACATGATAAGGCGCTATCACAGAATACACTGTAAAGTGAATTGACTGTATACTTTGTGGGCGAAACACAGCAGACAATTGCGCACAGCAGCGTCCCACAAACTGCCATGGATTGAGTGACTAATTTATTATTATTATCATTATTATTTTTGATGGAATTATTACTCATAGAAAAGCGCCAATCGACCAACATCCGGGTTCCTACTTACTGCTAGGTAAACAGGGGTGTGGAGTAAGCAAACTTGCCCAACATTTCACCCTGCCTGGGAATCAAGCCCAGGTCTCTTGCTTGTGAAGCAAGTGCTTTAACCACTGAGCTACAGAACTCTATTTGATCTTGTGTCAGGTCTTTTATTCCCTCTTCTCTGCCTTTTCTCCCCAGATTTGTGAGGAACCTAGAGGGAGGCTTGTTGGAGTTCCTGTTCAATGAGTGCAATGAGTGCTCCTCAGAAGAAACACTGGACACTGTAGCTGACTACCTGGCCACGAAATCAGCCTAGCTCCAATCCTGTTCAACTCCAAAAAAAAAGTCACTAACTTCATAGTAAATACCTATCAAGTCCTTCTGACATGAAAGGTGCTGTATTTCAATTAATATAAGGATTGTTAATTTATTTTTTGCACATCAATTATCTTTCCAGTAGTTCCAATGTTAAGCTTGTCTATTCAGAGAGCCTTAAGAAATTCTAATGGAGATTGTGTGAAACGAGGATCTGGGAGGTCCAGCCGTAAATGTGACCACAGATATCCCGTCGTCTATTGTGATTGAATTAGTTGTTGCGTAGGATAGTGAACTCAAATTGTTCTGATAAGCAGAGCACCTCCATATGCACAGCCCACTCCTCAATACCTACATAATAATAATCCTTGCTTTTGATACGCCGTCTTTTAAGACCATAAGACGTAGGAGCAGGAGTAGGCCATTCAGCCCCTCGAGCCTGCCCCACCATCTAATAAGATCATGGCTGATCTTCTAACCTAATTCCATTTACCTGCCCTATCCCCATATCCCTTAATCCCTCTACCGCGTCATCGAGATATCTCAAAGTGATTCATGGAACATACTGTAAAGTTGTCTGATTGTATTTTGTGGGAGAAATATGGCAGACAGTTTGCACACAGCAACGTCTATCAAACAGCCATGGACCAATTTTATTAGAGCCATTGTTGGCCAGAACACCGGGAGAGAGAAACTCCCTTAACATCACATTCGAAGGATGGTACCTCCAACAATGCAACCCACCACAGCACTGCATTGGAGTGTCATCTTAGATAGATTATGCGATTCCAAGTCACAGTGTGAGGTTTGAACTCACAACCTTAGAAGCGAGAGTGCTACCACTGAGCTAGACTGACAACATAGCCAATACATTGCAATTAGTTGATCCAGATTAACAATTACTAAGGCTCATATGGCTCCTCGTGCCTACAATAAATCTGCTGCCAATCTTTAATGATGGCTGTGCACTCACTTTACTTTCTTTCACTTACTTAATTTCACGCATAATGAATTACTCTGACCTTGGAACATGGTAACTCAACAGCACTGTGTCTACCTGACAGTAATTGTAGGTGTAGGGACTCAAAAAATAAATGGCAGTATTTGTTTTACTGGAGTCCTGTAGCTCAGTGGTTAGAGCACTCGCCTTGCAAGGGAGACACCTGTGTTCAATTCCAGGCAGGGGAGAAACCTTGGACAAGTTTCCTTACTCCACACGCCTAATAATAATCCCTCCAAAACAAAACACAATAATAAATTGGTCATTTCCAAACCACGACTGTTTGTGGGACGCTGCTGTATGTAATTGGCTGCCGCGTTTTGCCCACAAATATACATTCAATTCACTTTACAGTATATTCTGTGAAGCACTTTGAGATGTCGAGAAGACGTGGAAAGCGCTATATCAAATGCAAGGATTATTATTATTATATTATTACTAACAGCCTGAAATGTTTGTCTAAAACTCTCTTGATCAAGAATTTTAAGTGGGACGAAACCACCCCCCCCCCTTTGAATCACCTTGACACGTTCGCCTACAGAATTCCAGCAGTCCTCTCGACATGAAAGGTGCTGTATAAATGTACAATTGTATCGTAAAATCAACAGGCACTGCACCACAAATCCTGTGAAGCACCTTTAGGTATCTCCTGATGTGACGGGCACGAAGAATATTATTAGGATTATTATTGACATAATTTCACAATGCATTGGAATGTCATCTTAGATTATGTGGTTCCAAGTCACAGCGTGGAGTTGAGCCAACAATCTTCTGATTCACAACCTTCTGACCCTCTTCTCCCCCTGCACAATACGTGTTGACCTGACTCAGTTGGAAGCACTCTCGCCTCCGAGCCAGTTTGTGGGACATTGCTGTGCACAAATTGGCTGGTGCCTTTGCCTACAAAGTACACAGTCGAAATACTTTACCTATAAAAACTACTGAAAGCACCCTCAAGAGTAAATGGAAGCCAAGAGAGGGGAGAGAGCAATTGGGATGGCGGGGATGGGGATGGGATGCTATAATACTGTATACTTTCATTTGATCTTGGGTCAGCAATGTCAAAATATTTCAAAGCAAACTCTTCACAGGTAATTGCCAACAAGTGCAGTGACAGTGTGTAAACATAAAAATAATAATTTGGTCACTCAATCCACTTAATTAACAGCGCCCTGGGACGTCTTTCTGACGTGAAAGGGCGCTATGCAAGTGTAATTTGTTGTTGTTGTTGACTGTTTGTGGGACGCTGCTGTGTGCAATTGCCTGCCGCGTTTTGCCCACAAGTATACGGTCACTTCACTTTACAGTATATTCGGTGAAGCGCTTTGAGACATGTAGAACATGTGATAAGGCGCTATATCAAATACAAGGATTATTATTATTATTTTTGTTTGTAGGTGAATAAAAATGCCACTTAGTACATGACCTAACTTCAGTAACCTGAAACCTTGGGGCTCCTAATCAACACTCCCCAGTTGTCTTTATCCACAGGGTTGAGTTCATATGAAATCCACCAAAACTGAACAGGTAGCAACACTGAAGAGAGGCCGCTTATTGCTCGCTCATGATAAAACTCCCTTGCGAGTCTCTGCTTCAGTTCTCTTGTTCTGAGTGAACTATGACCTTTAAAAAATGAGCATCTGTTGGGAAAATCAGCAAGGGAATGTGTTGAAAACTGTTGCTGTTTCGTGGCCCGATAACTCCCCAAACCATAGCAAGTGTTACTTGGTGAAGCCGTCAGCGTTTTGTGGTTCTGCTGCCGACAGCGTGTAATGAGGTTCATTGCTGAGACAGGAAACTGAATTATATTTCACGTTTGCTTAACTATATTTTGAGTCCTTTCCTGAACACACATCTGTCAAAAAGGCTTGGCCGTGTCAGAACAGGGCCATAACAATAGTAACGAGAAGTAGTTTTTTTTTTAACCAGTGAACCACCATCTCAGGAGATGGCTGGCATGAAGCCCAAATAACAGTCAAAACACTCTCACTTAAATGACCTTCACTTAACCCGCTTTTAATCTACTGGCATAAATGATATTCCTCTGAGTATCCAGTAATGGTGCCTGAATTGGTGAGGCTTGTTCAATTACATGTGGCATCGAACTCTGCAATTACTGTGCAATCGTAA